TCCTGTTCTACACAGGGGTCTTTATTCTGTCCGTGAACGGTGCACAGTGCAGTGTTTGCCTCTGGCACTATGGGAGGATGGCCTGAGTATCCTTAACGTTTTGCAGCCAATGAGAGGGAAATACTACATTTCCATTCATCTGATTTTTTGTTAAGTGGTATTATGGGCTTGAGGCAGATTTCCTGTGCTTTCTATTCACTAAAGAGCTGCTTATTGTCATTAGATGTTTTGAGGATTTACTTGCAACAGAAAATTGATCTGCGTGTTTACTAATTGCACTTTTCTCTGTTATCTCTGTGGCAAAACACGCAGGGAATACTATGTGTGTTTTACCTCCTTCAGTCAGTGTGCTTTCTGCAGCTGTGTAATTTAGACACAGTGTGAATTTGACTCAGAGGAACCAACCTGCAAACCATGCCGTAGCTTGGGCAAACAGGCTAGGCAGTCGCAGTAGGGAAGGCTGACAGTGCAGGATGAACAAAAAAGGCGATTCTTTCTCTCATATTGACCTCGTGCAGTACTGTTTACTCAAAATGGCTCAAGATGTCACCACTGCTATATGGAGCCATGAGTTTATCCCTTCTGTTTGATTTGTTTCCATGTCTGCAGCATGGTTACTGGACCATAAATGAAACGATCTGTCCAAGATACGTGGACACATGCGATGCCCCTTTTGAGCGGCTGAATACAAATGCACTGTGTGGCGTTAGAGAAGAGGGAAAAGGGAACAGGGAATTCTCCTCCCTTCCTCAAGTTCCTGCTCGGGATGTGGTTATAATCAATCAGCCTTGGTCAGGCAGTGCTGGAAAAGGGACTTAGTGGAGACAAAAGCAGGTCACGTTTTGGTGGAAGGGTAAACATTGCCATACTCCCCACTGGCAAGCAGCTGCTGTGATAGTAGGTCTGAAAAGCACACTTTTCACACATCTTGTTTTCAGATACCACCACTCTGGGAAAATATCTTTTCCTCTAGTTTTGCTTTACTGCATGAGAAACTTGTCATGGAGTCAATAGTACTGAAGTGTCTTCAGGCTCACAGGAGCTGCCGAAGAAGAACAGACCCGTGTTCAGACTGGTCCAGTCCTCTGTCTCCTCCAGTAGCTGGAATAAGCTTCCTCCAAAGAAGACAGAAGCTGTACTGCATTTGCAGAGCAGCCTGACCTGGGTATATTGGTCTAAAACACACTCAGAAGTAGATCTTCCATCTTTCTTCCTGTATAATTCATGCTTCTCTCAAATGACAGATGCCCCATGCAAAGGAGGATAGTGATGCAAAATTATCCCAGATTTCCTTGAGTGGAATCAATTCAGTTGAAAGATGCTCATCCCTCTTTAATTCAGATTAAGCATCTTAAAAATCTGTAACGTTTTGAAACATTAGCTAATGGTTTGTTTTAAGGCAAACGAGCTTAACTTGGCATACATTTAAGTGGCCCTCATTTTCAAAAAACAACAAGCACTTTAATTCTCAGAATCAGCTTTCCATAAGGTGTCTCAAAGTGTGTACACTAAAAACTGGTTTCTTAGAATAACCATTTACTTTGGGAAAGGAAGACCTATCCCAAAGTTACCTTACACCCTTACAGTCTCTCCCCAGTGTTGCTATGTGACATCAGCCCAGTGGCACCAGCTCTGGCACTGTGACCCTGCTTCATCCTACCTAATTTTGGTTACAGCGGTTCGTAGCACAGTGTCTCCTGCAAAATTAGTAGAGAGAATTAGGCATTTCCTAGATTAATCCCTCTCTTTGCTGCCTCTCTCTTCAGCAGTGAAAGGAGGAGCCTGCTTACCTGTATGTCCACTTTTACACTGCCACTAGGAGCCTGCACTTTGGTAAGATAAATGGAGACTTGCTTGTAAAAAGGAAAAAGCTGGCTACCAGATTTGGAAAGTGACTGTCAGGTCCAAGAGCATGACTTTGTGTGCTTACAGGACCCAAAGTAGAATGGGGGCTGTAAACCTCTGCAGAACTTTGGGAAGTGAAAAAACTTTTCTGCCTGAAAAGAGATGTAAATTCAGATTCTGGTCTTAGGATGTAAAGCTAGGGGAGCTCATGAGAAGTCTCAAAGCCAGGAATATGGGGGTTAAAGGCTGCAAAATGTGTTTTAACTTTTAAGAAAAGCTTATCTCTCTTATAAAGGACAGAGGGAAGAGGGATAAGGAAGTCCACAGGGGAAATATTAATTTTCAGTCTTCTTCTAACATGTGTTGAGAACACTATCTGCTTAAAGCAATGAATGTTCACAACAAGTTTCTCGTTCTCATGAAGGGAGACAGAAATGTGCTACGTATGGTACAGAAGTGGCTGTGGAAGAAAGCTGCCTAGAGGAAGGCCTGAACTCTGGCAACAGAACAGTTCACAGGACTTTTGGATTTTCTCTTTTTCAGGAGGCTTTAAGATGTGTCTGCACTAATTTTACATGCCTTTTAATAGCATTATTTATATTATACCTTTTGAAACTGGCCAAAATCATTGCTGGCCCTTGAGTAGGTAAAGAAACAGAATATACTGACTTACAAAAATGAGGCTGGCTGAGCAAATTTGTCCTAAACCAGAATTGCTCCAATCTGCTTTATTATTCCTTTTTCTTCCTCTTTCATTTCCTTTTCCAAAGTATAGCATTAAGTCTGTGCAATGACTAACGCATCTATAAATCCTTCCCAAAGAAAAATAAGCCCTAAATCTCCCTCCATACATCACAGCAAATTGATAATAGCCGTTGCTGTGGAGAATTGTAAGATGATACACTGCACATTGCCTTAAATGTGTGCCAGTATTGTCAGCCTAGTTAGGAGACCCATTGCTGCCCACTCCTGTGGCTTACGTTCTGTGACACCCATTCCTTGGCAGGACGGGGACACTCGAAGGCAAGTTTGTGTATCAAATAAGGTTTAATATTTAAACTCAAGATACCTTTTCTGTGGGCTTAGCGTATGCAGCATTCTCATTTTTGAATTGCTTTTAGGGTTTCTTCAATGTGTGAGGTTCAGTGCTGCCATCTGGGTGCACACGTGTCTCAAGGAACCCTGGGATCAGGTCTAACATAGTAATGACAACAGTTCTCTATCCCTTGTGCTGTATGTCATCGTTTATCCCTTAGCGCTGTTATGATCAGTGCAGCATCGCTTACAACAGATTGGACATATTTTGATGAAGTCATGCACAGCATATAACGTTGCTTTGGCCTGGGATGCTTTTTAATTTAATATTTTTCAGCAGATTGGATCTGTGAAATTCAGCTGCATGCCATCTCTCTGTGTCCTTTTTCTCCCACACATCCCTTCATTTTTTCTATTGTTTAGACTATAGACACCCCAAAAAAGACCCCAAAAAAGACTGCAAGAGTCTTGCTCAGTGGGGAAAATTAGTGCACATCAGGGCACTAATTCTGATCAGAGGATCTTATTACTGTCATTATTTTTCCTTCAGAAAGGTATTCCACACATTCCAGCAAGAATTACTGTGAAGTTATTTTTAATGTTTCCTACAGCGTTTCTAATACTGTAGGAAAGGAACTTTCCCTCTCTCACATTCTTTGAAATGTTTGTTTTTTTCTCTCCTACTTGTCTCATTTTTTAAACAAAATTCTGCATGAAGAATGACAGTGAAAGATCGAATTAAAAGAACAGGTCAGGTTGAAAGCAACTCAGAAGTGTCTACTCTGGCTGTCTCTGTCGGTGCAGCTATTACATCGCCTTTGTACGAATGCAGCAAGGTATTTTTAGCATTCCTCCAAAGCAGGCTGCTAGATTAGGTTACCTCAGCACTGCAGTCATGCCTTTTACTCCTCAGTAGTCACTCTAGGAAATGCGTTACATCCTGCAAGTTCTGAGGTGAGTGAGGGGCAAGAGCTTAGGTAGCTTGTATTTATTTGGCCGTGTCGTGCAGAACCCTTCAAAGCGTTGCCGTGAATTCACACTAGAGGTGAGTGATAGATGAGATGGTGCAGGAAAAAGAGGCACGGGGAGAGTACTTGCTCAACACCTCCCAACTGACCAGTGGCAGAATTAAGATCTCCTGAATTAAATCAACCACTGCAGACTGCCCACCTTACTCCTTGGCTTTCCAAATATTTTAAGCTGACCCGTTCCCTTTGGTTTTAGCTGTTGTACGTCTACAAGGCACAGTGCAACGCTGCATAGAAAACCCTTTCATCCTCTCATATCAGTCTTTCATATGGTCTCGCTTTTTCTTGCCTCCCCTTTCCTACTCTCCCTTTCTCCCTGTGCTGCTTCTGAGGCAGATGTCAGCTGACGGGACTGCGCAAGCAGAGGGAGGAAATGCCCCTGTTTTGGGAGCAGCCTGAGCAGGGGAAAGGGTGCACCAGGGCCCCTGTGGCTCCTGGCTTCTCCCTGCACCTTGCCTGGTGGGCTCCAGCTGTGCTTGCACTGCAAACCTTGCCAGGGAGTTTAAACATGTTCTGCGAGTTTTATGGAAGGAAACAGCCCCAGAACTTACTGAGATAAAATGGGACATTCTCCAAACCTTCTTCTGGAGTCACTATTGCCTCTCTCTGAGCCTCACAGCACTTCTGTGAGGCAACATAGCTAAATATTGTTATTATGTCCTGATTTTTTAGATGGAGACCCTTGAGGCTCAGAGTGTTTGGGCTGACATGTCCATGATATTTCAGCAGACTCCTGGGCAGAGCTGGCTCTTCACAGAAGGGCCAGTGCTGAGTGCCTTGCAGGGTGCTAGACCAGTCACACAGCTGAGCTGGGGCCCTAGGGCCCCAGTCTGGTCTCTGCTTTAATGACTGCCGGATATATCTAGCTCTGCCGGGAAGTGAGAGTATCATTCGATTTCAGCTTAACAGTAGTGCTTTAGCTGCCTCCTGTGGATCTTTGTTACTGTGGCACAGAAAAAGCATGAGTTTGGGGTGAAACATGCCTTAAGTGCTTGGTTTTTTGCTTTTTTTTTTTTTTGTTTTAAGGTAACAGCTGCTGTAATTAGTTACCAACCCTTTTCCTTATTAAAAAGTTTTTAATTTTTTACAAAGGATCCCAGTAGGATGCCAGCAGGGGCGGAGGGGAGTTACTGCTCTCCAAACGAGCCACCTAGCATCAGTGGACATGGCTCAACTTCTCCGCAGTCTGAATCAGTGGTAAATGCTCTTAAGGTAACTCTCCTCCAGTGCAGTACATGCAGAATGCCATGTATGTTACTCAACACGTGTCTTATTGTCCTGAAAACATTCCTGTGCGTATCACTGGAATGTTATTGTCATGAACGGTATTGTTTTTTCTGTTTGTCACTCATTGCATCTGTGGACTGTGTGTTCCTTGGGGCAGGGACCGGGTGTTGATTACGATGGGTGTGATGCCAGCTGTAGTCTCTCTCACAATTGCACATATTTTCTCTGAAGATGAGAAAGTGGTGTTTTTCTGCAGAAGCAAGTCTTTCTACTTCTTTGGGATGCATATTTGGTCTCCAGTGAAATATAATGGACTGCTGTAACCCATACAGAGAGAATTGCCTTAATGCAAAGATAAAACCAATAGGCGTAGTATATTCACAGTATATTCACAGAAGAAATACCAGAATTTAGGGCTGAAGATAGTGCATAATGGCCCCAAAGTCATTATGGAAACTTTTGTGATGTTTTACGCTGGAACTCAGGGTCAGATTGCAAAAACCTACGTTGCACTGACAAACAACGATTGATACAAGCAGTCAGAGGGGCAACTTTGCAACTGCTTTCGTATGGGAACGGTGAAACTGTTGTGATTAATGAAGCTAAAAAACTTATGACAAGGTATCAGCAGTATATCAGGGGATCTCAATCAACATCTGACTGAGTTCAAGTGTCCCACTAACATTTTGTGCATCAGCTATGTCCATGCTCCTCTGGGGGTGGTTAGCAGCTTACGGAAAACTGAGCAGAGAACAGGGACTCCATAGTCCTGTCTCCTGATGCTGGCTCTAACATGACTGCTTTCTGGTGCTTTGTGCAAGCCACTGTCTCCTATACTTTAAAATATAGGTTTAAAATTCTGTTAAATGACTCCCTACCCCGTGGAGATCTCACAGGGATGCAGTGGCTACTTGGGGGGCCAGGGCTGGCATTCCTTCCTCCAGGCAGAACTGAAAGGGACTTTTGTAGGTGTTTGCTCTGCATTTGGGAGATTCTTGGAGATGCACAGGGCGCTGTAACAGCTCAGTGGTACAGTTGACTTGCCTAGACATCTGAGTTTGTTTGGAGGGTGATTATCTTCCACATGGCTGGGTGACTTTGACTTCTCCTCCATGAAGCCTGAGGAAATGGGTTTATGTAAGTGAAATGTGCAGGAAGTAAAGCAATCAGATCCCTTCCTGTAATAGAAAACCGGGGTGCAGGGCTTCCCTGCAACCATGTTGCATCTGTTATTCTGGCATATGACCCGGGGAAGCCACAGCAGCAGAGTGCATGGACCCCTCTCTATCTGCACGTAGTTGCAGGTCCCCTCACTAAGCACCTCGCCTGACTCAGTCACCTTTGACACCAGGCCACCTGCGAGTGTGCTGCTGTCACCAATCTCATACAGGAGACGTGTAACAAACCAGCTTTCCCTGGTGCTTAGGAGTACGTGTTTCAGCAGTACTCAAGGTCCTGTGTACACTTTCCATATATTTCACCTGCTGTTGCCTAGAAAATAGAAGTATGCCAAGTAATTTAGTCACGAGATCAGATGTGCTTACCAAATAAGCCCTTTGTAGTTCTCTCAAAACACCTATTGAAAAAGACACTCTGTTAAGTGGAACAATTAGCAGTATGCTTCTGACAACCTGTATTAACTGGTTAGCATAAGTGGATGTTTGAACAATGAATGAATGAATACTCACCTATGTTGCTGGAATGGATTAATAAGACGTACACAGAATGTAGCTCAATGTGATGTGAAGTCATAGCTTTTAGTTTGCCAGGAGGTATTGCAGCAGGCAGAGAGATAAGTGATACCTATGTTCTAAATGGAAAGTGAGCTGTTGGCAAACATACTGCCCAGACTTCCCCTTCTTCGGCCGCAGAGAAGATCCTCATGTTTCCCAGACTGAAATCTGATGGGTTGGATCCTGTCTTTCTGGTGAATGCCGAGCTCCCCCTTACACCACTTTGCAGAACCAAAGGTATGAGGAAGAACAGGCTGTGTGTAGAGCCCAAGTCAGAAGTATGCTTTTTTTTTGTTTAGAAATTTGGCATTTTAGAGTTCCTGCAAAGGGGAGAGAGCCTTTATTGCAAAAACTCAGAGTTAATGCAATTCCCTTATGCCCAGCAAGAAATCTAAAGGTTTTAAAAGGTTAGATCTATAAGAAAACCTAAGAGGTTCATTGCTAAAAGTTGTGCTGTCTTTTTGCTGACTGGTAAGGAGAGTTGCCAAAAAAAAAATGCAGGTGAAAGAAAGAGAAGAGTTGTGTGATGTAGTGAGTCTGATACAGGTTCTTCCCTGTCCTGATCTGTTGTGCAGCGTGACCAAAAGAAGAAGTTGCCATGTGTGTCCCCCCACACCTGGGACTTGGCGTTCTTCCCCGCTCTGCCGATGGTTATGGGATTATTCCCCGTGCAAAAGTGAAAAGACTGGCTCACCCAGGATATAGAAGTAGTCATTTCATACTGCAGGACATGGCTTCTTCCTTTTGCAAAAGAGTTGTGTATGACCAAACTGCATGTTTGCGCAGGGAGAGGTGCATGTTCCGCAGAGGTTTGCTTTGGGGACCAGTCTTTATGTTTATGGAAAGATAATAGTCATCTAGTCGACTACCTGAACAACTAAGGACCAAGACTCGCCTGAGATTCTTGCGTCAGGTTGCCTATCCTAAGTTCAGTGTAACCTACTGGCAACTCTGCTGTGCCATCTACAAATTAAAGTGGCATATGCTTTAATCAGAAAGGGTCTGAGGCTCAGTAGAGGAGCTGCTGCATTAAAGTAAGTGTTCTGTGATACCCAGGAGGTCAGGCAAGAAGATTTAATGATCCTGCCTGCCCTGAAATCTTAAGTACTATAATCTGTCTCATTATCTTTAAATCCAATGGTTCAATTACATATACATGTCCTTACTCAGAAAAAACCTGTTAAAGGTTAAATATATTACTGTTCTTATTTATGGTGGAAAAACAAATTCAATTTGTAAAATAAAATTTCCTTTTTTTAAAAAACATACCCTTGTCTTGGAAGCTCAGGAAGGTATGAATCAGCAGGCTGTTAAAGACTCTCACCACTACCTTAGTCAGACAGAAAAAGCTATGGCTGAAGAAATGCACAGTATAAGTTTAAGGTGTTTAATTTTGTATTCCATATTGAGCCTGAAACCACCTGAAGATGTGAAGTACTATATTGTTTAAATGCTGACGATTAATATGCCCTTGAAATATGGAAGTTAAGTCAATTACTGTTTCTGTAATGCAATTACTGTTTTTTATTATGAACATTATAATTTTAACATGTTGGTCAGTATTGATCAGAAAATTCTATATGTGATAATATACATATCTAGGATAAAATACTATGTGAACCAGCTAACCTGAATTTTATCCTTGATAAGAATAAAATTTGACAAGAATGGTAAAGTCTGGCGGTCTCAGTTTCCCCATTTGTATAATGACATCTACCTATTTTCTTGCCTATAGCATTGCTTTGCATTTTATGGATAAAAAGCAGTTTCTAACTAATAAATATTTAATAGCAATCCATAAAATTTCTCAGGGTTTAAGTGATGCCACTTCTAAAATGCTACTTTACTATACTTGACATTATCAAGTCATTTTCATAAATCCCAAATATATACTTGTCTTCTACCTTGTCTCTTTTTTTCTCCCCAGCCGTTCAAAGTTCTGCCATTGGCACTGAAATGCTACCTCTTCTGACGTCTGTAATCTATGTTTAATTTGACTATTTGCTATACTATTATGCTTTTAAAATAATTGGTTATTTCTTTCCTGGTTTTACTTTTTCTTACATTCACCTAGTCCATATTAAAAGTACAGTGGATTTGTGATGAACTAATTGTAATTTTTCTTTTCTTTTGCATTCTCAGTGCATTTTCTTCAGGTTTATAGCTTACTATTTTACTCTAGCTTTATGTACGGCAGGGTTTTGGGGTTTTGTTTTGTTTTGTTTTTTTCACATGAATCATTTGCCATGGCATCAGTTTGCCTTTGAAAAGAGTGGAATGATGACCAGTCTTGATTTTGGGTTCTTTAATTTTGGTACATAGTTTTGATTGATACTGAAATGCAATTTGGATGTATAACTCCTGTTGTACAATATATGTCTATATATAATGGGTAGGGGAATCTGTTACATCTCTCTCAGGATGCGTATATGGTAATCATGCCACTTCATCAACAACATACTTGGGAAGATTTTTTTGCCTTGTGTTTATATACTTGCATTGTCTTAGGAGAAAACAGCTAGAATGTATCAGCAGGTTTAGAGAGATAGTTTTTCATGTATTAATTAGTGTCGAGGTAATTTCAGAGCACCAGAACTCTTGGAATTGGTATAGAGAGGTATTGTTCTTCATTGTTTTTTCCAGATTACCAGTAAGTTTTGTGCACAGAGCTGCAGCAAATTCAGTTGGACTGGCAACCTGGAAGCCCAAGGGAAGATGAGATTTGCCAGATATACCGTATGGGATTGTTGGAGATGGGGGGGGTTAGAGAGCCCAGAGATGTCCATGAGTATTTAATCATACAAATATGAAATAGCACAGGCCTCAGATGCTGCCACAACCTGCAAGTGGTGCAGTTGCTGTTGTCTGACGTTAGGGTGCAAGTTTTTCCCTCCCGCTTACAGGGAAAATATTTCTCCATCCTTTCACTTCTGCATGTTGGGCAAAAGCTAGAAATGAATCTTCATGACTGTATCAGGACCTCATAGCTACCCTTTATTCAATCAAAGTTTCCAATGAAATCTTGAGTGAAGCCTTTGGTACTGGGCTTTTCACTCTGTTGTAGCTATTTACAACTCCTTCAGGAGTGCTTTAAGTTTCACATTTTCTCTTGAGTGCTTGTAAACACAAAGCAATTCCATTGGTGTCAGTTGTGACAGATCAGCGTTGAACTAGTGAACTGAGAATGAAGCCATCCTTTATATGCAAATATAAAACGCATATGCGATGCATGGGGCCAAATAAATGTGATGCATAGGGCCAAATAAATGTACGCGCAGAAGGCAGCGATACGTGCAGTTATCATGACTGTGCAAAGAACTGCACGTATGCCAGCACAAAAGGAGAGTTTGGTGGCCAGTCTGCAGATGTTTAGTCCCTGCCTGTCTTTCTGAAAAGGAGGCAAATGAAATTGCTATGATGCCTTTGAGACCGACCTCTCCATTGCATTGTGTGCATAAACAAAGGCGTTTGCTGATCAAGGTTACTGTCCCTCCAGGTGGCTGTGTGATTCATGCTTTGAGTTTATCATATTACTTAATGTTGAAAGCATCACTATCTGCTGATTGTTACCACCCTAGGACTGCCATTGATCTGGAAATCAGAGCTCTCAGAAACGCCGAATGTTGCAGTTCTCATAGGCAAAACAGGAGCTGCAGTGTGTGCTGATGCTAGGGCTGCAAGCGCAGCATGTGCGCCCCCCACCCTTCTCCGCTGAAGGGCGTGATGCGGTAGCACATGTGATGGTGCTGAAATTGGATTCCCCCCCCACAAAAATGGGATGAATATCCTTTTTCGCTTATACCTTGTCAGTCCTGTTTAAGATGTAAGCTTTTCAGGGCTGTCTTCTTGTATGTGTTTGTCCCTTCTCGTCAACCAGCGGTCATTTGCTCAGCTGGAAATAAGAGTCTTTGAAAGGTGTCACCTTTCAGTTTACTACCGTATCAGCATTAACTGCTGGATAAATATTTAATATTCATTGACCAGAAAAATTGTTGAAAGGCGTATATATACAATGTACCTTTTCACAAAAGCTAAGAGGCCTTACTCTGTGATATTAAGAAGTTAATAACATCAGCAACATAAAGTTGGAAAGGAACACCTGGGTCATCAAATCTAGCCCTCCACCATTTCTCTCCACCATTTCAGTCATAGTTGATTCAGGAGATTTCACTGAAAAGCAATTCTACAGCAAACAGCAAACAGCTAAAACACAGGCACATTTTTATTGGTATGTTTTCTGGTTTTGCTATGATGATAACTTGTCAGGAGCTGTTTAGTTATTCACTCCACCTTTTAACTTTCCAATTACAGGGTGCAAGATTCTGGTCATATGGAAATTTTGCAGAGAATTGATTTTGGATTAGGTCCATCCAAGAGCACTGAAGACAGTTCCTTTCAAAGCTTTACACTTCAATTTGTTCAGTCCTGTTTAATAAGATTGTACTCTTATTGCTTCCAGTCTTGGAGTGTTTCTGTTTTCCATACTTTCCATGTTTGCCTGCTTTAGGCGATGTCAAAATACGAATAGTAAGTAAGAACAGTGGAAAAGAGTTTCTGCTTTTCTCTACAGTTATGCCACTGTTGCTCTAGAGACTGAGTGGTTTAGCAGTAGTTATACCTTAAATGATCATTATTAAGTAGAGAGAACCTGAAATTCCAGTCCGCAGTATGGTGGTGATCCCTGAATCTGTTTCTGGTGGCTCCTAGAAGACAGGTCTTGGTAAAATGACACAGACAACTGATTCTCCCTTTTCTAAATGGTCAATCTCTTTTGTAAGTCATTATAAGCTTTCCTAAATCCTTTTTGCTATTGTTTTTCGGCGTTTTGAATTCCCTAATTGTGACATGGATGTTAAACAATCAGGAATGGGAGTAGATGTGAGTATGAGGAAAGAAATCTTTTTAGTGTATAGTCCACATTATGAAAAAAGTTACCAAATTGCATGTGGCTCTGGTTCAACAAAACACACAAGCATGTATAGGGCAGTAACTATATGCACAATTCTACTGAAATCAAGGACGAATACAAGAAGAGAAAACAAACACATTTAATGCCTTGCTTGATTTTAAGAGAACAAGTAAATTCCTAGAAATGTACAGATGTGCTGTGTGCCTTTAAAAGTAAAAATGTTTGTGCTCCTCTGGACTGAGCTGTGCGCTTCTGAAATTAGTTCCGCAAGAGATGTGGTTTGGGAAATATTTGAACAAAGGGTTTCAGTTGAGGCCTGTGAATGTCCTCAGTCTTGTCTCTAAAGCATAAAATATCCTCGTGATGCACGTGCTAGTTCATTTGTCTCCATTTTTAATCATTTTTACTTAGAAGCATGTGCTTTCTGTGTTCAAAAGGAATGTTTTATCCTTTGAGAAATATTCTCTTTTCCTGTTTTGTGTCCCTGCCTCTCTGTCCATACCTGTGCTGCATGGTGTGCGTAACAAAAGTGTGGTATTTCCAAATGCATGTATATGTGAGTACAAACGCATCTTAACTGGTGATAATGACATCTCTTTCTATCCCTGCCTTTAGGTTGTGTGGAGGAAACTTGGAGATGCTGCAGGGTCGTGCCCTGGAATTAGACAACATTTGTCAGGAAATCAATATAAAGGACCTATGTAAAAGGACCTGAGCAAGTCCTCTCTCTGAAGAGAAAGAGTTTGACCTGCCAGTGAGAGATGAAAAAAGAAGTGACTGTATCCACAGTGACTTTGCGTCTGACAACGGGTTGTCTATGTGCACTACATGAGACTTTGTTGGAAACTAGGAGAGGTTCTGCACAGAGATCTTTCAGACGAGTTACGTTTTTCAGTGTCCCTTGTATACTGCTGTTTCAGTATACTGACTAGATGAAACGCTGCCAAGGCTTTGTCATTCAAACGCACCACATTTAGAAGCATTGAGATATTCCCATCATATTTAGATATCATCCTAACTAAAGATGATTGAGATTCTGAAGGAATTACATGAAGTAAATTGTTATTTTGGATAGTTGCAGTGAATCTCTGGTAAGTCCGAATTAATTTTCCATTAGATTTAACTAAAGTTTTTCACCAGACTGGAGAGATATCGATAAACTGTGCCTTTAGTCTCCACAGTTTTAGGAAAGTCACTTGCTTAGTAACTCTCTCTTCAGTCTGTAAAGTATCAGTTAATGGTGCTTAGGCAATTTCCAGCTGATTTTTTTGTTTTATTAGAATACTTGCATTTTGAGGTGCTAAAAGACCATAAAGTCTCCTAACCAGCCAGTAGTGTAGCAGAACTACAGTACCTGTAGTAAAACATGATTTCTTTCTAAATGAAAGTGAAATTAGCTTTCTTTTTGGTTCACTTTGACGCAAATCTTCTGAAGACCTATATGATGTTCACAACCCTTTAATGAACAGAATATTTAGGTATCACTATTAAAGGTCTCAAATCAGAATTTCCACCAGAGTTTTTTCTGAAAGTATTTTCCAGTTGTCACGATGCTAATTTCTGCTGTTTAATTTAGAGACATGCTGTTTTATTTAGCAAGAGTCTATAAGAATCTAAAAGATTGCACTGCATTATGAAAAAAAGCTTTTCTTGCTACTGTAGCCTTCTTTCAAAGAAAAAAGTTTTATTATAGTCAGAGCATGTCTTTCATTATTATGAGGCAAAAAGCTCTTGTTCAGATTGCCTGAGATTTGACCAGAAGGTGCCCTAGATGTGCTTGGTTTATTTTTTTCCTATGTGTATGATATTAGTTGTGTGTATTGAATTGCAATGATAGATATTTTGTGTATATCTAAAAGCAATGATAGTTTCTTGTATGAATGTGCAACAGGCTTGTGACTGAATGCTGTTGCTTAACTTTTTACCGTAGTTGAGTATCAACAAATTAAATAAAAATAAAAGAATAGGAATGCAACAATTCCCAGGTTTCTGGTTTGTTCTTGATTACTAAGATTTGAGCCAAAGTCAGTACTCTCTGTTTTCTCTGAGCTTGTAACATGCCGTATTAGTGGACTGTTTGTAGTGGAACGTAGCTCGGTTGCTGTACAATCTTTTGTTATATTATTAATAGTATGACGTAAAATCTGATGTCTTCAGAAAAACACAAAATGTTAATTTGCAGCGGTAATTATATTGGATTCTGTTGTTATTTTTACTTGGTACCATTCGACGTAAGGCCTCCGATCCAGCACCACTTTCTCAGGCAAAACTCCTGTTCACTCCTTCTCCGTGAGTTAGAAATGCAGAATCTAGCCTTCTGTTTTGAAACACTGCACTCTTAGAAAATTTCTTACATATAACCCCCAAAACAGTTGTCTGTTATCTTTTCATGTTGTTTTCTCCCATACGTATTGTTTGCATAGTTACACTTAAATTGTTGTATTCCTATATATCTATACATGTATGTATGAAAAAATGTAAAACATGTACTTGTGCCTGCAGTACATATGTGCAGGGGCTAATTTGAGGGACACTGGTCTTTTGACACGACACTTGTGTAAATTTTGATACTGTATTAAAACTATTTTTTTACAGTTCTGCATACAATTGGGTATCAAGTATCTGTGTTCATCTTAGCAACAGTAATAAATTATAGACTGTCAAAGCTGTTTGCCTTCCTTTAATGACAGAGGTCTTGAGGTACTTGGGTTCAAATTCGGTTTGCTTTGAAGGAGCTATCTGAAACGTTTCCTTCGTGGCTGTTGAATTCGCTGCATGTTTCGGCGTTTTGTTCACCTTGTCTCCAGGTGTCTACAGAAATCCCAGAGCTCAGCACTAGCTCACGGGAATGGAGCATCTCACCACTTGCTGCCTCCTGTTCCTCCGCAGAAGCCGCTGCTCAAGGACACCAGCTGCTCGGTGGCATGGCCGGTGCATGGCGGGCACCAGTGGACAGCCGTCCCCATGCTGGCGCAGCCAGGCCTAGCAAGGAGCAGCCCAGGGAGGGTGTTTTTAAGACGGCGTTGGCTGTGGTTATATGACAAGTTTGGAAGACTCCTAGCTGAATCTGCTGACTGTAGGCACAAGAAAGTAGGGTGGTTTCTTGCTTTTTACTGCTGCTTAGCTGCAAAGTGTATTCCATGGTGCTCGTTACCACTAGAAGTATTTACTCCTTTGCAAGTGCCACACACGTCTCTGAGCATTCACCCTCTTTGCTGCGGCCGAGCTCCTGCCACAGTCTGGCGGCACGTAGCTCCCGGGTGCTGTGGGGCGCCCTGCTCCACGCCAGCAGATCAGAGCTGGCAAGGCGGGGGGGAATTGCGCCGGGGGTGGCCATCGAGGGCCAGGCTTGCAGCGGCACGCCGAGGGTTCGCCGTGTCCCCCTGCTCCAACCCCTTGCCAAGGCCCTGGGAGAAATTACACCATGCTGCCGGTAATGTTTTCAGAAGGCACAAAAATGCATGGGGTGGTAGAGGGGCCGGTAATGCAGTGGCGGAGAGGAGCAGCCTTGCCCTGGCAGCACCCGCCCGGGGGCCCGCGCCAGCCCGGGCGCGCGGCTTGCAGGGAGCCGCCTGGGGCTGCTTCACCCCGTCTTGCTCAAAGGCGCTTTGAGGTAGGGAGAGGGGATATTGGGCTGAGGCAAGCTGCTGGAGCCATTTTGGCTCAGGTGGGAGAGCAGGACTGCTTTTGGGGGCCAAGGGCGCTGCGGGAAGGCTGGCTCTGCCTCCACGCGTGACGGTGGTGCCCACTCCCTCTCTGCCCGTGGTACTGTCTGCCCTCGCCCC